CAGACAACAGATAAGGGGCGATAAAGACGCGTCCGGCTGCGGTGTGTGCAGAAATACTTTAACCTGCCGACTGGATGGCGAACGTCTCACCGACGTATGATCACGTGTGCTGATCGCGCTGCCTTGGATCCCTTGAGCAGAACGCAAAGACCGGCGTCGTCGTCCCCATGAAAAAGAGCTTTGTGCTTTTATACACAATCGTTTTCAGCCACTTTTGATGGATTTCTTCCTCGGGTTCTCGTTCCATCGTGAATGTTTACCTGAATGGATGCGACCCCTCAGATCCGGACGAAGGGGCAGTAAATTCACACTCGGCGGCCTTCTGAGCGTGAGGTCACAGGCCTTTAGTGCGTGGAGGCCACGGCCGTTCGTTCGCCGACACCACGGCAGTTACCTCCCCATCACGTACGGCGACGCGTGGAGGAAGATGGCCGCCGTGCTTACAGGAGACATGAGACGCTAACGAGGTCAAAGCGCTTTAAAGACCTTTGGAACCAGATATTTCTTGGTCAATGAAACATCTGCAGCACGTGCAGCACATTAGTGAGCACGCAGGTTTTGAAAAGATTACGGATTCGACGTGGAGAATCAGTGGAGGTTAAGGGTCTTTGCACAGGTGTTTTAAATGGCAGCGTGTGACGTAAGCACCGGAAGGAAGTGGTGAGGAATGCGTCGCTGGAGCCGCTCGGCGGGATCAGCTCCAGATGTTGCGCATCGGTCCTCCCTCACGCCAGACTCCGTCCAAAAATCCGGTCATTTAAAATGAGCTCCGCTGTCAACGAAGACTGGACCTCCGGGACCATTTTAAACTCGTGTGAAGAAAAAAAAAAAACATTCAAACGCCATTTTTTTTTTTTAAGTTATGTCACTGAGCGTGGAGAAGCCCCGCCCCCTCGCTAATAACGACGTCTCGCTCGTTACGTCGATCGCGTCTTAATCGACGACACGAGTGTCTTCTCCGAACGGCGCGCACGCGACGACGCTTTTCACCGTGAAAACAGCCGCTCGGGTCACGTGGTGGTTTTCCCCCGTTGGCCATCAAGCGGTTAATTATTAAAGCCGAAGTTCTGTGAGCGGAGTTCGGTGTGACGTTTGCGGGAATATGGGACGAAGGTAAAGCGAAATCAAAGTGATGCTGTCCCGGGCGGGGGGGGGCACAGAAAACACTTCTTACCTCCGGGTGCGCCGATGCTTTCCCTCTTGCCGAGTTTTTCTGTCTGTATTTCCCCCAAAATGTACAAAAAGTTGGGAAATAAAAAGTGTGTCAACGGTCCTTCACGAAAAAGCAAAAAGTTCCCGAACGTAACATCCCGGCGTGAACGCGCCGCTCCGGCAGCCCCAAGTTTTCACTCCGGCAAATATCCCCCCCTCCTCCAAAAAAGAAAGAACTAGTGGGCGAGCTTCTTCCTGCGTGCTTCCCCACGCCCAGAAAAACCCGCTTCGCTACCTGTCCGCCTCAGGTGTGACAGATCACACGCGCACGCGCCCGGCAGTTTGTAGGCGACGCGGGAGCGCGCTTTCTGCGGACAGGAGAGTATCGGGATGAGGCGGTTTCCCCTGTTCCTCCTCCCGGCACCAAATCCCCAAATGCCGGTAGGTTCACACCAGGAGTCAAGCTGCCGGGAGGCGCGCGCGCGAACACCGGAAGTTTGATCCGGGTGTATTTCAGAGTAAAAGGGTGAATGAGACAGGGAGGTAGATGAGATACGATGAACCCTCGATGCTTTGTGTATTTGGGGCATGAACTGAAAACTCATGCTTCGGATAAAACATCAGCGCAATGCGTTTTAATTCAACTGCATATAATGTTATGTGAAACGAGCATACAAAGCTGGAATTTTAAAATAAGCATTATCAGAAGGAAGGAACAAATGAGTCTGGAAGTGATCTAAAGTAAAAAGGTGATCTGAGTGTTTGCAGCCTGAAGCTTTGTGAGTCTCCGGGTGAATGTGGAGACAAACCCTGGAAGAGAGCTTCAGACGAACCGTGCTCTTCTCTACATCTGTACAGTTGTTTTGAGCGACAAAAAAACCCACAGGTCCAACTTGCACAAATGATGGGACGTTCAAGTTTTTTCATTCATCCATATTATTATGTTTTTAAACCAAAAGCTAAAAATAATCCCACACACACCAATTGTAAATGTATCTTTGTATATATTCACTCTAAACAATTATAGAGTGAATACACTTTTATACGTTAAGATATTAACCAAATTATTTAGTAAATTATTGTTTATTATGTAAATATCTAGATAATACTGTGATAGAAGACCAATTTGAGCAGTGAAGACGTACTGACTGGAACATCAATAACTTTATTTAAACACACAAAGCAACGCAACATAGAAAAAGATAAAAACTGCTGATAACGTTTTTAGACTGAAGAAGGATTGATGCAAACGTTGCATGTTTTTTTTATATAGAATGGTACGTTAACGGGACCAAAGGTTTCTTTAGGCTTTCTTTAACTAACACTGCAGGCTGCCCCAAAAGGGATTTTATTTTGAAAAACCGCATCAGGAAGCCCCCCTCCATGCTTTTTCTTCCTTGATGGAAGCAGTTAAACACGGGTTTAATCCAAAGGCCATTAAAGAGACTAACTACCCCTTTCAAAGCAAAGGGGCAACACAATCAAATGCTTTTCACATTTTCAATAAAAACAGTAATCAACAACCGAAGACTGCATCTAAATACCAAACAAGCTGAAAACAACTTTCCTCTGACAGATGTTGTTTGTGCTTGAACTTAATCAATCCTTCAGTTCTAAACAGATTATGGAACGCTTCATCTGCATCCACAATAATCTGTTTAGACTCCTCGGGGAAACCTGAATTGGATTTGTTGTGATTTGTCTTCAATCTGTACATTTTCCTCCTGCTTCTATTGTCCCGCACATCTGATCCTCAGAGGTCCGTGAGAGCGGCGGTGCCGTCCAGCCGGGTCGCACCCCGCTGCTGAGTGGAGGGCCCGGCGGCGCCACAAAGGACGCTTTGTTGCAGGAGAATTCGCCTGAGAAGTAATCCCTCGTGGGGGGGGCAGAACCTTTTGTTCCACGAGCCTCCTGCAGGTTACAGTAGAGTCGTGCGGCGCGGCAGCAGAGATCTTCAGGGAGTGAACTCTGTGCTGCGGGTGTGGAGAGTTCAAGGGTCAACGAGCAGGAAGTGAAGTCGAAGCGGCCGGCTGGTGGCGGTTCCACCTCGTAAAGGATGAGATGTTCTTATTCGCTGCCATGGAAAAAGTGAAGCCGCTTTTGTTTGAGAGTCTTCACACGTGTGAGCGTCACCAACATGGATCAAAGCTCAGCCTCAAACTCAGAAAAACCACCAGGGAGCATCAACTCACTCATGAACCGGGGCAGAAAAACTTTTAATCTTCCAATCTTTAAATTTTATTTTGGTAAAAAGAAATATTGTAAATTTGCAATATTCTCAAATTGATTTCTAATTAAGTGGCTCAAAGATTCAGTAATTTCAGTATGTTTATTTTATCCCTCACTGACAAACTGTCCATCTGTTCATTAGTCTGGATAATTATCTGTGTGTGTGTGTGTGTGTGAGAGTAATCATATGAATGTTTATCTGGTCTTTAGGGTTCACTGGTTCGCTAAATGAGCTGTTAAACACTGTTGGAATGACTACTCCCCCCGTGTGTGTGTGTGTGTGTGTGTGTGTGTGTGTGTGTGTGTGTGTGCACCTCCAATGTCGCGTATTGTGGCCTGACGAACATCGATATTTGGCGAGCACATTCAACGTTAACGCGTGTTGGGTTGAGGGAAATCATAAATAATCATCTTTCCCCAAACATCTGATCCAGACAGACAAAGTCGTCCATTTCTGCAGAGGTTACTGAACTAAAAACTAATACATATAAAGTTTAATCAATGTTGATAAAACGCTCATATTATTCTCTCCACTATGAGAGAAAACCTGCTCAGATTAAAAAGTTTATCTTTGATTGAGAAGAGAACTCCAGGTGAAATGGTTGTCTGTAGTTGTTTGAGGTGTCTCTCTAGCTAACACATTAAGGCCCTCTGCTCTTCACTCAAAGCCTGACCTGACCCGTGACTTTTGACCCGGTGCAGGCCTGGCAGCCTTCAAGCATCCCAGCGCGTCCGGTCGGGTCATGCCTGCGTGAAACATTCCTGCTGAACGTCCTCTTTTACGCCTCACGTCCATCGTCCTCTGAGTAGATAAGAACGCTGCTATCGTGTGAGAAGAAAAAACTTAAAAGGTCTGTTACATCGTGGGTGGGCTTAAAAAACACCAACCAACAGTCAGAATTAATTAAACTACCAAACCAAGAGTCAGGATTAATCAAACTACCAAACCAAGAGTCAGGATTAATTAGACTACCAAACCAAGAGTCAGGATTAATTAAACTACCAAACCAAGAGTCAGGATTAATTAAACTACCAAACCAAGAGTCAGGATTAATTAAACTACCAAACCAAGAGTCAGGTTTAAACTACCAAACCAACAGTCAAGTTTAAACTACCAAACCAACAGTCAGGTTTAATTAAACACCAAAACTAACAGTCAGGTTTAAACTACCAAACCAAGAGTCAGGATTAATTAAACTACCAAACCAAGAGTCAGGATTAATCAAACTACCAAACCAAGAGTCGGGATTAATCAAACTACCAAACCAAGAGTCAGGATTAATTAGACTACCAAACCAAGAGTCAGGATTAATTAAACTACCAAACCAAGAGTCAGGATTAATTAAACTACCAAACCAAGAGTCAGGATTAATTAAACTACCAAACCAAGAGTCAGGTTTAAACATACCAAACCAACAGTCAGGTTTAATTAAACTACCAAACCAACAGTCAGGTTTAATTAAACACCAAAACTAACAGTCAGGTTTAAACTACCAAACCAAGAGTCAGGATTAATTAAACTACCAAACCAACAGTCAGGTTTAATTAAACTACCAAACCAACAGTCAGGATTAATTAAACTACCAAACCAACAGTCAGAATTAAACTACCAAACCAACAGTCAGGATTAATTAAACTACCAAACCAACAGTCAGGTTTAATTAAACTACCAAACCAACAGTCAGTTTTAATTACACTACCAAGCCAACAGTCAGGTTTAAACTACCAAACCAACAGTCAAGTTTAAACTACCAAACCAACAGTCAGGTTTAATTAAACTACCAAACCAAAAGTCAGTTTTAATTACACTACCAAGCCAACAGTCAGGTTTAAACTACCAAACCAACAGTCAAGTTTAAACTACCAAACCAACAGTCAGGTTTAATTAAACAACAAAACCAACAGTCGGGTTTAAAATACTCAAATTAAAATTCAGGCCGAGACCCCAAAGTTTCCAATGACACCAGAGACTTTCTTCCTGTTGAAATTAGTTTAAAGAACAGAACTTTGAGATCGCTCCGTTCTACGCGGCGCTGCTGCATCTCGACTTGAATAATTCATTCGGAGGAGACGACATTGGCACACGGAGCCAACAGTGCAAATAAAAAGTTGAGCTCACACGTGGTTAACTGGTTGATCCGCTCAGTGCACTCGCCGGTTAGCTCGGGGGTAGCGGACGCTCGCTAGCATAGCATCAGGGTTCAAAATGACAGTCACCATCCCTCCTTTCAAACATTCCATCCATCCAATAAAATCAATCCATCAATCCACTAAATTCAATTCGTTGTTCTAAAAAATCCATCGTAAATCCAGCCATTAATAAGAATTTGGTTTCTTTTTGTTTCAGCTGAAATACGTATTCAAACAGCTCATTATAACAAGGCCCACAGAGTGTGTGGTGTGTGTGTGTGAGTGTGTGTGTGAGCGAGATGTCAGACGTGAATGATTTATGAGTATGCAAATTAGATTGTTGAACTGTTGAAGGACAGTGAAGAGCAAGACACACACAGACACACACTTTCACATTAACACATAATCTTCTGCTCCGTCTAAGCCTCCAATCTAAAACTATTCTCCATTCCAGATGTGAATTAAACATTATCTCTGCTTCTCAGCCGGTAGAAAGTCTCCTAATCTAAATGAAGTGTTACAGAGAGACGGACCCGAGCTGCACGTCTCTAAGAGTAAATGCAGATCGATCTGTGCATCACTGGGGAAAACAAACGCGTCACATGCACAAAGAAAATGGTTTCAACATGAACATAAATTACAACATTGACATTTCTTGCAGGCTTTTGTGAGAAAACGTACCACCATTTTTTTTTCATTAAATAATCAGAAATCATAATAACAAGCTGCCAAGCATCATCAAAATGACACAGAGTGCATCCATGCCCCCCCCCCCCCCCTCCCCCCATCAGGCGGTGGGATGCAATCTGAAAGCAGGACGAAACAATGAAGCACAGTGCTTCATGATGTCATCTAAAAAAAAAAGAAAAAGCCCCATTGTGTTTAATGAAGCATTTTTCTTGCGCACAAAACGCACCGCCTCTCGTTCTCTCACGTCTCCACGCCGAGGCCTTTGGAGAGGAAGAACAACGGGGGGCAATGAACCCGCTGCAAGGAAACCTTCAACTGCTCTTCATGAACAAGTGTCAAACTCCTCCGTATCCAGATAAAGACTCGAGAGTGTGAAGAAAAACCA